GAAACTTTTTTTAGTAAAATAAATAGATTGGTATGGGACGTCATCTGCTTTTCTTCTGTCATCGTCTGTCGAAATCTTACCTGAGAAAAAAAACAGAGTATAGGAGATTTTTTTACATGAGAAATTTGATTTTGATATCAATATGACTCCTACTTGTAGAGGGCGCCACCTACATATTTTTAACTGGTTTGAAAAGTTAAAACTTTCCGTCCATACCTGTATAAAACAACTGAGTAAAAAAATATATATAATAATATATCTAGTCAGCGTGTTTATTTTTTGTCAATGACATGTACTGGCTCTTTCCATTCTAAATATCTTGAGAACGGTTGCTCTTAGAAATTTTTACCAAAAGATATTTTTTAACTTAAAAGTTACAGAAATATATATTTTTTCACTTAGTAGTTTTATACATGTACGCACAAAAAGTTATTACTCTTCAAAACAGTTAAAATACATGTACGTGGCGCCCCCTGCAAATAGGAGTCATATTGACATCAAAATCAAATTTCTCATGTCAAAAAACTCCCAGACACCAATTTTCATCCAAATATTGACGTTACTTCAGAAATTATTAGAAAAAAATCGAAATAAGAATGAAATTTCTACACCCTGTATCTCCGAAACTAAGCATTATAAGATATACATTTATACAAACATTTTTACTTATTTTTATCTGCAGAATATGCTGCCGAAGTTTCCGGAATACAGTTAGGACCACCCTGTATATGAAAAAAAAACCACCTGAATATTTTTGGTCTTATTCATTTACACCTCTTATAATTATACTTCTTATTGATTTAAAACTAACGTACCTTATACGGAGGAAGAGCAGGCAAATAAGGCTTGTCATTTGGTCTCAGTTGCGACCTCTTGATAACTTCCGTTTTTGAATACAAGTGAGCCTCTAAATATCGTCTGTAAGCCACACAGACATGCCTGACAATCTGCCTGGCCGCACACTCTTGGTCCTCGTTAAGTTGACCAGTATCAGTGTCATTCATTAGATCGAGAATTATAAAATGAACATTTTTTGTATCTAAAGTATTTCAAAATTTTCAATAGTTTTCCGGATATACGCAGTATTATTTCATATGGCGCTTTCAGCAGTAAAATACGAGAGAAAAATCATTGGGTGGCTTTGATAAAAATTTACTGTGAAAAATGGCCATATGAAATACAAAACCGGGAATATCTACGAAACCGTCAAAAATTTTGAAATACTCTAAATACAAAAAATGTTCATTTTTTAATTCTTCATCTATTGAAAAAATAATATACAGGGTGTTCTATTTAAAAAAACGAAGAAAAATTATTTTATATTTTAGAAAGTTTGGCGTAGAATTTTGAACATCCTGTATGATTTACGATTTTCATATTTATAGCAAAGTAAGTACAGACCATCTAAAGTAAATGTCTAATATAGTTTTAATTTCAGGAGAGTTCTTGTATTATTAATATTTTTTTAAGAAAGGCTGAAAAATATATATTTTTTTTATTTATTTATTAATATCTCTGAAATTACCGAAATATATTTACTCATGTCTTAAGATTATGTAAAGTGTTCTGAAAGGAAGCCAAAAATGCAATAATATACAGGGTGTTCCGTTTAAAAAAAATCATCCCGATCCACTCACACTTTTTTGAGCCACCCTATAGAAGTTAAAATATTTTCCCGAAATACATCCTAGTACATACTTTAGGTTTGCACTTAAACAAAATTCCTAAGTTTTTTATTTTAGGAGCTAGAGATGCCCGACGCACTATTGCCGGACCCTGTATATAAGGTGCCTGTAGTAGTAGTATATACCCCCAGGTGTATATAGTATATAAGGTGCCCGGTGGTGTAGAGGTACAGGCTCTCGTCACAGAATATCTAGCTACGCTCTCGTCTACCAATCTCAAGGTGTGGGTTCGAAATTTTTTTTATTTTCGTTTATTAAAATAAAAATAGTTTGGGTACCTAGGTCGACTCAGCCTTAAATGAGTACTTGGGATTCACAATCCTGAGGTAATAATAGGCGGTTGAAGCGTAGTGCTAGCCACATTACCTTCCTTGTATACAGAACGGCTCTAGTATGGCAAGCTGTACCTTGCTACTCCCAAGGCGTTAAACGCTATATACGGGAGCTATTATTATATTATAATTAATTATTATTTTTATCAAATAATGTTTATGTGGATATTGACAAGTTTAAAACAAGCGCGAATTTAAAAATAGATCTGGTTTTTTACTAGGACTAGTTATCCGCGAAGCTTTTATGCGCTTTTCTGTATTGGTATTTTAATTAGTATTTTCAAGGCTTTTAAAACCAATTTTTACCAGATAGGGGTTGTATCTTTTTTTAAATGGAGTTGACTAGGTGACAAGGTGATTATAATGTAAAGAAAAAGTGATTTATTATAATGGATGTAGGGTTTTAATCTTCACTTTCAATAATTTAATTGTAATGACTTTTGTCTAGAGAAAACTTTCGTTATTAAATAATGAAGGTGTCTACGTTTAAATAGAACACTCTATATACGAATTAAAAATCTAGAACAAAATAAATTATATTAAAAAGGAACGTTTTATAACAAAAAATAACGATCGTTTTAGCTCAAAGTTACTTTAACTTATGAATGTGGGTTTGTAAGTAGAGTAAATATAAAGACCACTTTAATCTAAAGCGAGTAAATAATGATCTTACGTCGTATAACTAACTTAAGGCTCTAAGGGTATTAGTCTGACTATATTTTCTTTTGATTTTCTTCTAAATATTATTGATATAGAGGGATTCTTGGTTGAGGTTGCATGATATGTTCCTAAAAAACAATATTTTGTTGGTTTGAGGGAAGTTAATCACCGCGACCTTATAGATCTATTGTGTCTTCCTTTCTTGAGCTATAACTCATAACACAATCTCAGGGGTTTGGCAAAAGCCAGTATCTGAGACGGTTTTACACTGGTTAGTTCTCCATCTCTGGCATCAGCCGTATCAAAGCTTGTGGCACGAATGGTTGTCGTCTCGGCGCACTGCACGACAGCGATGAGTTGTTCAGGTGTTTTCCCATTTTTTCTCCAGAATCTGTATTCGCCGTTGTTTCTTAGCTTAAATCTACTGATGTGTTCAATGTTAGCTTAAACCTACTGTTGTGTTAAGGAGACAGTGTCCTGTTAAAGACCCCGTGACAATCCGAAGATTTAAAAATCGGAAGCAGAACGGTTCTGGTCCAGTTAGTGGAGTGTTCGCTCTTTTTCTAGCTACATCGTTTGCTTTTTCATTACCCATTATATTTCATTACACCCAGACAAGGAGGACTTTATTTTCTTTGCTTAATTTGTTCAGCTACTCTAGGTATTTTTTGATCAATTTCGAATTGATAGTTACTGAGTTTATCGCTCTTAAGGCTGCTTGACTAAGGGATAAGATGGCTATTTCTTCTTTCCGATACTTCCTGTCTAACATAAGTGTACGCATCCTTTGATAGCGTAAAGTCATATGCTTGTACCTTAAAGAGAAGCCAGACGACTGTCTGTATATTGTTATACCGTGTGACTGAAAAAAACGGGATCCAGTTGGCTTGGAAATGACGATCGATGACATTTCTCATATTATTTTACATACAAAATGACAGTGACCTTTATTTCCAAGCCATCTCTGATACCGTTTATTTTTTAATCGTATGTTCTTATTTATTTCTTAAATACATTTATAAAGGGTGTTTCAAAAAACATGTGCCATCTCTCGTGGAGAGATTCCTCACGTAAAAATAAGATTTATTTTTCATATCAACATAGGTCCGATTTTGCTCTGTTACGTAGCTACAGGGTGTTAAAGGCTTATTATTTTTTCGATTTATTATTATTTTCTTCTAAGTACTGTTAGTGTTTCGAATGAAATTTTGAGGATAAAAGTTACTATAAATGCGACATATTTTAAAGCTAAAACGGTTATGACATATTCACCTGGTATACCTGCATATGGGTTATCACTGGAATATTTTTATAAAAAAGCATGTACGCTACTGATTTTTTTCTCTTTTAGCGAAATAATGTAAGTAGTTTGATGGTGATTAAAAGTTGTCTCTTGATATTTTGTCGATTTCGGTTTCCTTGATGAGATAAACGCAATTTTATTAATCTGCCTTGATCCAAATCTAATAGCAACCTTTAAAAAAATTAACATCATTAACTCGCCAAAGTTCTAAATAAATACTCATTGATTCCTCATCAAAAAAATATGAAAAAAGTTCCTATAAGCATAGCATGCTTAGTTTTAGAGTTACAGGATGTTAAAACTTTTTAAAATTAGCTATTTTATAATTATTTTAAACATCATTACTTTTTTATTTGAAATTGCTGTTAAGTTGGACTAATAGGCATAATAATAATTGTTAATAATATTTAATCATAAATTAGGTAAAATATATAATTTATTAATTTTATTTTTATTTAAATTTTATTAATTGGATTAATAAAATTGCGTTTATCTCATCAAGGAGACTGAATTCGATAAAATATCAAGAGATAATTTTTAATTGGCATTAAACGGCCTATACAATTTTGATATCAAAAGAAAAATGTCAGTGGCGTATATGTTCTTTTTTGAAAAATATTCCAGTGATAACCCATACGCACGTCCCTGATGAATTTATCGACACTTGCATTAAAATATGTAACGCATATAGTAACTTTTACCCTCAAAATTTCAGTCAAATCACTAAAATGATTTGGAAGAAGATTATAATAATTCGAAAGATTATTAAGACTTTAACACCTTGTAGCTAAGAAACGAAAAATGAATCTTATTTTTACAAGAGGAATCTCCCCACGAGAGATGGCACATGTCTTTTGAAACACCCTGTATACATTATTTAATTTTTAAACATTTTTATAAAATAAATAATTTTATTCTTTTTTTAATAAATTGCTAGTCCTATTTAAATAAAATTATTTTTTTAAAATCAACTTTTATACATTCCCGATTTATTTTTAATAAAAAATATTTTTGTTACAGTAGATGGAATGGAATTGGAGACCCTGTACCAACGGTACTGCATCCGCCTGAAACACGCACTATTTTTATCTGGCTTGACGGTTTCTACAATAGTTTCCATAGGAATACTGATCACTACATGCGTTTTACACGTTCAGGTAATTTAAAAATATGTTTTTTTTATTTGAAACTACAATTAATGCGATTTCTTTAATTCTTATTATTAATTTCATAAATTAATTTAAAAAAAATGTAACAAATATTGTAACTTTTTAGTTCGTTACATGTCTTTTTTGTATATAATATATGATGTCTGGCCTATCATCACCGGATTCCCTCTCGTTCAGGCCGGATAGTTTATTTGACGCGTAATTTTTACGTTCCCTAGTCGCCAACCCTGTTATCGTTCGACACAACCCTGTTACTATTCTGTGGAGGCGCGCGCTGTCAACGTCGCTTCTGTCAACTCTCTCCGTGCTGAACCTCACTTTGTTTTGACGCTCTGTTGTATCCCAGCTTTTGGAAATGGTGATTATTTAAGTCTTGCTGTATAATTTGAATCGGCTGCTATTTCGAGGCTACAGGGTAGAGTTACGGATGTCCCAACTTGTATTTGTATTTTGCTGGCACGTTGGCGTCCCTTTTCTTTTGTCCTCCAGAATGTCACATGGAAGTTACACTTGCTTTTGGTAAATCAGGTTGTTTATTATTTATTGAGCCCTCGGAAGTATTTCGAGGGTCCAAGGTACGGACTATTTCCAAGGTACGGACTATTTCCAAGGTACGGACTGTGTCCAAGGTAGTATCTTGTGTACGGACATTATCTTATGTACGGATGTCCTGTGGACGAGTGTCCCCAGTAAGATCGATTTTTTCTTACATATAAGTGCCACAGCGTGGATGTAGCTTGAGTCCCATGCTGCTTCGTTCCCAGCTGTAAGCTAGTTAGTTACGGCTGTAACAATTTATGGTGTCTCATGCTGGCCCCTTTGGTTGTGTTGGATGGCTGAGTACAGAGAAATGCGAGACCACCTCACGATGTTACTGTTTTAAGCAGGATTGCTTAAAGAACAGCTAAGTGTAGATTTAAGTTATAGTTTTGCATTTAACATTTAAAACATTTACAGTCTTAAACAATAACGTACATCTTAAATAATATCGTATAGACTATGTTGAGTGGTTAGATTGTTAAGAACATTCATGTCGATTTAGTAGTTAAAATATAATTTAGATCTTAGGTTTCATTGCATTATGTCTTGTAATAGTATTACTTTTTTATAGATATTATTATTGCACTAACATCATATAAAATATATCAAATTAATTAAAGTAATGCTACATTTCATATATTCTCTTAAACTTTACATGTCTTGTATTTTATCATAGTTGTTTTCATAGATATTTAGTACAACTCTTACCACCACTTTCTTTGACATATAACCACTACATATTCACTAGAACTCTACAATGTCATGTATCAGCAACGAACATCATGAATGAATATAGTCATTAGTTTTAAGTAATATACAACTGTGTTTTCTTTCTCTGTACATGCCTGGCGCCCAATATCTATTTTTTTGTTTATTGTTATTAATTAGTTTTCTTTCCAGTGAAATACCTTATCCACGACTGCTCTCCGATGAAAAGCTGCCGTTCGCAGTGGTGGTTGTTTAAAAAACGCTACAATATTAATACATTTATTATAACATTTGAAGGGTTCAGGGAAAAACTTGAAAAGCGACAATTTCTTAATTTCAGGATTTTACAATATTATAGTAGCTCTAACTTGTCCCTACAAAATATACAGGGTGCCATCTATCGTGGGGAGCTCCTGACGAAAAAGTAAGATTTATTTTTCACATCAACATAGATCCGATTGTGCTCTGTTTTGTAGCTACAGGGTGTTAAAGTCTTAATATTTTTTTGATTTATTATAATTTCTTCAAAGTACTTTTATTGTTTTGAATGAAATTTTGAGGGTAAAAGTTGCTATAAATGCGACATATTTTACAGCTAAAAATGTGTCGACATTTCATGTGACATTTCATGACATTCATCAGGGACGTGCATATGGGTCATCACTGGAATATTTCTCTAAAAAAAAAGCATATAGATACGCCACTGACTTTTTTCTCTCGTTAGCTAAATAGTGTAAACAGGGCCTCCTTGATGAGATAAACGCAATTTTATTAATTTGTCTTGATCCAAGTCTAATAGCAACCTTTAAAAAAATTAACTATCATCATTAACTTGCGAAAGTTTTAAATAAATACTCATTGATTCCTCATCAAAAAAATATGAAAAAAAGTTCCTATGAACATGGGTATGGAAATGCATACTTTTAGAGTTACAGGATGTTAAAACAACAGACTTTTTAAAATTGGGTTTTTTGTAATTATCTTAAATATGATTATTTTTTTATTTGAAATTGCTGTATATTGGACTCTAATAGTAATAATAATTAATAGTAATAATATTTAACAATAAATTAGGTAAAAACTTGATAAGGGCCATTTTACTAATAAAACTTGATTAATTTCATTTTTATTTTAATTTTATAAATTGTGATTAATAAAATTGCGTTTATCTCATCAAGAAGGCCAAATTCTACAAAGTACCAGGAGATAACTTTTAAATGGCATTAAAGGGCCTCCATAATTTTGATATCAAAAGAAAAAAAGTCAGTGGCGTACATGTTTTTTCTAATATTCCAGTGATAACTCATATCCAGACGTCCCTGATTAATTGATCGACACTTTTTAAGTATTAAATTAAGTAGCACTTATAGTAACTTTTACCCTCAAAATTTCGTTCAAATCACTAAAAGTGCTTGGAAGAAAATTATAATAAATCGAGAAATTATTAAGCCTTTAACATCCTGTAGCTACAAAACAAAGCAGAATCGGACTTATGTTGAAATGAAAAATAAATCTTATTTTCCCCTGGATCCTTCACTTGGCAACATTCCTACTTTTAACAATAAATTAAGTGCTGTAAACCGGTATTTACTCGTTTGTAATTATTAAGCTAGACTAGTTTGATGTTGTATAATAATCTGCTTATAATGGCCAGAGTGGTATGTTATATAGAGACCAAGTATTAGTCAACTTAGCAAGTTTCATAGAGGTTGAAATTGCAGATTACTTGTAACAAGGAATATATTTTGCCGATATTACGTAGACGGTACAAAGAGGACCTTATACAAGTTGGTAATTGATGTTATGGCTAAATACTTAGCTCTTACAGATCACTTCATTTAAGCCATATACTATTTTACGGGTAATCGAAAAACAATTTCCGATGCATGTGACAAAAAAATCTCCGAGCCAGATATTGTAGTTCTGTAGAAACTTCCAATGCACGCTCAGCCTGGAACACCCTGTACATTCAGTAGAGACCCGCCTATAGGCGTGCTGTCACTATTCTCACTTCCATCAGCTGCTGACCGACGGGGTTCTATTATCGACGAGTCTGACTGATTTTATTAATAAATATATTGTTTTCACTCTTACCTTGCAAAGTTTCAGTCTTCAGAAATAATTTTGAGTAATATTTTTTTGAGAGCGCGTCTGGGGTAGCGCTGACGCTTTGTGTCCCCATACTTCTCTGTATGAGTGTTATATTTTTGTTTTACATTGCATTCGAACGTTATCTACAAATTTTCAGCCTTCAGGAAACAGTTTGGAGGTGTTACTCACCGCCAGGTGTACCGGAACTGGAATTGCTGACTGTACCTTTATTTTTTAACACTAAAACGCAATCGATTTTGAAAAATTCAGTCTTCAGAAAAATCTTGCATGTTTTTGCACCCGGCTCTTGCATGTCCATCCGCCAACTACAGGAAAAGGTAAAAGAGCAGCAGTCTAAACTTTATGTTGCATTTATCGACCTAACAAAAGCCTTCGACTCTGTGAACAGAGATGCACTTTGGGCAATTACGAAAAAAATCGGAGTACCCAACAAATTTCTTAGTGTGTAAAAGCCTCTGTAACAACAAGTCAAGAGTGTCACATCATGGATCACTGAGCGATCTCTTCTTAACAAATACAGGAGTTAGGCAGGGATTTGTCTTAGCACCTCTCCTAGTCAACATATTCATGGCAGCGCTCTCCATTATAGTGGACAGCAAACTGCAGGAGAGAGGATTAGATATAGCGACGACGGCGGTTTGTTCAACATAAAAAGACTCAGGGCTAAAACACGTACAAAATTCATCACAGAACTTCAATACGCTGATGACTGCGCTCTAGTTGCAAAAACGTTACAACAATTACAAGAAATGTTGAATACATATACCTGGGCATACGAGGCTTTGGGCCTTAAGCTAAACATTGACAAAACCAAAATCATGTGCACTCCCCCGGAAGATCACAACAATGCTATAAAAATCGGAGAAGAACTACTGGAATATGTAGCGGAATTCAATTATCTCGGCAGTTTGATTTCGGAAAAGGCCAATATCGACTCTGAAATTCAGCACAGGATTAGCAGCGCTTCAAGAGCATTCTGGAAATTAAAAGACAGGGTTTTCTACAACCATGACCTGAGCACAAAAACGAAACTTGCAGTGTACCGAGCAATTATAATCCCCACTATGTTATATGGGAGCGAAACCTGCCATACCGCCGACACATGAACGCATTAAACAAGTTGCAACAGAGACAACTTAGACAACTCTTAAGAATCCGATGGTTCCATCATGTCTCAAACGTATCAGTCTTTGAAAAAGCTAACTGCGAGTGTATTGAAGTCATGGTTACAAAATCCCGCTTAAGATGGGCTGGTCACGTATGCAGAATGCAAGAAAACCGCTTTACGGTGAGCTTGTAGACGGTAAGAGCAAGCCGGGTGGACAACTCAAAAGGTACAACGACATTTTCCACGAAAACTTAAAGGGGATTCATATGCAGAATGAAGGGGAAGAAACAGCTCACAATAGATGATGGAGAAGAATTGTAAACTCAGGGACAACCAAAAAGTAAAGAGGCAACAAAGCAATGAGATTTTTGAATGTCCGGAGTGACATGGCAGATAACATTACGTATCGGGCTTTTCAGTCACAGAAAAGCTCATGAAAGAAAACGCCTTGCGTGACCATCATCTGATGCGTGTCAAATACTCGTCAGCGAGTAATGGTAGTATGTATGCAAGTTTTTGC